AGCATATTCAGTTGTCGTGTTTGGATGGGCAGCTACTGGGGGCGCATCCGCCGCCGCCGCCGCCTCCTCCGCCGCCGCCGCCGCCCGCCGCTGCCGCCGACGCCGCGCCGCCGCCGCCGCCGCCGCCGCTGTCCGCCGCTGCCGTCGCCGCCGCGCTGCCCGCCGCCGCCACCGCCGCCGCCGCCGCCGCCGCCCCCGCTGCCGAATCGCGCCGCCGCAGCCGCCGCTACCGCCGCAGCCGCTGCCGCACCGCCGCCCGCCGCAGCCACGTCGCCGCCGCCGCCGCCGCCGCCGCCACCGCCGCCTCCGCCGCCGCCGCCGCCCCCGCCGCCGCCACCGCCGCAACCGCCGCAGCCGCTGCCCCCGCCGCAGCCGCCGCAGCCGCCGCCGCCGCCGCCGCCAAGTGTACTCTGTATTGTTGTTTTGACAGGGATGGTGGGGGGAGGCCGCATCGGGTTCGCTGCGCATGCCCCGAATTTGGAGACAGAGTGTGTGTTGTACGGTGTTTCACCAGGGATGGTGGGGGCACAGTGTGTTTTGTATTGTTGTTTACAAAGGATGGTGGGGGGGCCACATGGACTTGGGTTGGCTCCCGCTCGCTTGGGAGAGGGGGTGTATACTAATAGGGAACAGTGATCAAGACGCCCTCCCCGCCCGCAAGCCGTTTCGCTCACTCCCACCCGCCCTCCCAACACATACGTAACACCCGAGATTGGCCCGAACCGCAGCGTATTCAGCTGTCGTGTTTGGATGGGCGGCTACTGGGGGCGCATCCGCCGCCGCCGCCGCCGCCTCCGCCTCCGCCGCCCGCCGCCGCCGCCGCGCCGCCGCCGCCGCCGCCGCCGCCGCCGCCCCCTCTGCCGAATCGCCGCCGCCGCAGCCGTTGCCGCCGCAGCCGCTGCCGCCGCAGCCGCTGCCGCCACCGCTGCCGCCGCCGCCGCCGCCGCCACCGCCGCCGCCACCGCCGCAGCCGCCGCAGCCGCTACCCCCGTCGCAGACGCCGCAACCGCCGCCGCCGCCAAGTGTATTGTTTTGATTGACAGGGATGGTAATGGGGGAGGCCGCATCGGGTTCGCTGCGCATGCTTTGAATTTGGAGGCAGAGTGTGTTTTGTATTGCTCTTTACCAGGGATGGCGGTGGGGGGGCCCGCATGGTGTCGGGTTGGCTCCCAGTCGCCTGGAGGAGGGGGTGTATATTAATAGGGAACAACGATAAGCCCCTCCCCGAAGGGGAAAAAGGTTTTTGGAAGAGGAAACGATTCACTGCGTGGAGCTCCCCATGTGTGCATAGATTCGCATGGAACCGGTCGCGGCGAGTGTCTAGGCGCAAGAGCTTTCAACTACAAGCGGGCTTGAGTTGTGACGGTCTGGTCATGAATCTATTTGCGAATAAGTTGGAGTGTGAACGAGTCTCAGTAGTACGAGCGCGTCTGTGCGCATGAGTTTGGGGCCTCCTGGGGCTTTGAGTGGCCTCCTCAGACCTCCTGGAACTTCGCGTGGCCTCCTGGGGCCCCCCGGAACTGGGACCTCCTAGGGAGGATTCGTGCCCCAGGAGCGGTCCAATGTATAGGAATAGACATACATCAGACACTGCGGGTTGGAGCCGCAGACGAAGGGCAATCGATAGGAACACGCGTAAAACACCAAGGACTCATGCCCCAGGGGAGGCCCACTTTATAGGAACATACGTAAAACATTCAGGATTGTATACACAGGAGAAGGACAACATATAGAAACATACGTATAACATCAACGATTCGTGCTCCAGGTGGGGCCCAATCTCTTGGAGCACACATACAACACATGGGATTGGAGCCACTCTTGTTGCCTTCTGAGGCCTCCTGCTCCTGGGGCCTCTCGGGGCCTCCTGTTGCCTTCAAGGGCCTCCTGGCGCTTCCTGTGGCCTCCTGGGGCCTCCTGTGGCTTCCCGAGGCCTCCTGGAGCTTCCTGGGGCCTCCTGGAGCATCTTCGACATCCTGTGGACTCTCGAGTCTTCATGTGGCCTCCTGGTGCCTCCTGGGACATCATGTGGCCTCCTGGGGCCTCCTGGAGCCTGCTGGAGCCTCCCGTGGAATCCTGGGGAGAATCTGTGCCCATGAGTCTGGCCACCCAAACAGGCAAGCCGATCGAGATATCCTCAACATCTGCCCCCTGGGGGGCGAACATGAGCGCTTCGCTCGAGACATCCTCAACATCAGCTCCGGGAACGAAGGATATTGGGCGTGCAAGCAGGCAAACCGCTCGAGGCATCCCCGCCATTTTTTCGCGAACGGAGGCCGTGAAACACACCCCTGGCGCCCCCCCTAGGGGGCGCCTCGCTCGAGACGTCCTCAACATCTGCTCCGAAAACGAAGGATGTTGGGCATGCAAGCAGGCAAACAGCTCGAGGCATCCCCGCCATTTTTTCGCGAACGGAAGCCGTG